CTTCCTCATTCCTGATCATATGCTATCTTCTGAAATGGCTGAATGTGAACCAATTCTTTTTAGCACACTGGCTATCTATCTGTATTCTTTCCATCTTCTTTTGAGGCTTCCTGTGTCATTCAATATTCTGCCCATAGAATCCTTCTATATTGCAACTTGAAGTTTGAATTTTTTCTTCAGACCTTGTTGTTGTTATGTGCTGTCGAGTCAGACCCGACTCATAGTAACCCATCCTCTGGTTTCTGAGGCAGTATCACTATGGAAGTAGATTGCCCAACCTTCCTTCCGATGAGTGGCTAGTGGGTTTGAACTGCCAGCCTTCTGGTTAGCAGTCGAATGAGTGCCTTAAGCACTATGTTATTCTGCATAGCATTCATAAAACTATTTTTTTAATTAAGAAAGTCTATATGGAATGTTTATTAAAAAGTAATTTTGTTTCATACATTCATTTAACTGATATTGATTAAGCACCTATTATGTACCTAATACTGTGCAACATTAACAATGAGCAAAAATATATGGCTCTTGCTTTTCAGCTGCTTAAGGTTATCTCTGGGAAACCAGCTTATAGGCATCTCCCTCAACCTTAATTCCTGTTATTACCCTTAACGACTTTAAAGACTATGTAGATGACTCACCCAATACCCTATTCCCAAGGATTTTTCTTTCTTCTTTTTAACTTCTTCAATTCCAGGGACAATAGAGATCCCATGCCACAGCTTGGACCTTGTCACCACAAAGAATCGTTCCACTTCTGAGTCTTCAATCACAATCTCCCATCTTACTTTATCTCTTATACCTTCAAACCTAAAACACTTGCTCCCTTGACACATCTATCCTTCAATCAGTCCTTTCCTGGTTTCCTTTCCATTTCCATGTGATATGTCTAGATCCCCAGATACAGCATTTCAATCAGCCATATCATCTGCTCCTTTACCCCTTCAGTAGCAAACCAATTATTGAGTACTATGTCTTTGGGTACATTACTCAACTTCTCTTGAGCCTCAATTTCATCATCTACAAAATGAAAAATTAACTACCTTCCCATAGGTGGTTGTTAGGATTTTATGAGATTATACATCGAGATTACTTTGCAGTTATTGGCATATAGCAAATGCTTATTAAATGTCAGCTATTAGTATGATTAAGGAGCTCTGGTGACATAGTGCCTAAGGCATTTGACTGCTAACCAGAAGGCTGGTGGTTTAAACCCACCAGGTGCTCTGCAAAAGGAAGATGGGGTAATCTACTTCCATAAAAATTTACCTCCTCGGAACCCCAATGGGGGTCGCTGTAAGTTGGAACTGACTTGATGGCAGTGAGTTTGTTTGTTTTTTTTCATTATTAGTATGATTATGCCAGGTATATTGCAGAAAACATTATATAAATGTATGGAATGAGCAACTACAAATTCATGGTTTCTGACTCTGGCTGGCCCTCTCAACAATGTGGCAGTCCAATTCTTTTAATCTGTTCATTAGTTATTACGTATGCTCATACATTCTCTCTCTCCCTGACTCCAATCCTGACAAATGATAACACTTCATGTCTTTACTACCATCCACAAGTCCCCTATCCCATCATTTCCCTTCTTGTTGTCAACAGACCTCCTGTCCTTTTTGCATTTCTCGGAAAAGAGATCATCAAGCACTAATTCTCATCTTCTTGCTTCCCCATGCACTCGTCCCCTCCTCCCCACTTCTGTCTCAGTGGACGATGTGCTCTTCTCCCTGTCTAAGGCCAAGCTTCCTAACTGTGCCTCCCCTCCAGAATCCTAAGAAACCTCATTCCACCAATCAATTATTTTTTCTTCTGCACTTGACTTCAATTCATCCTTACTGGTTTCTTCTCTGCGCTCAAACATCTCATATCTTGGGAAGTGGGGTGCAAAACACTCCAACACTACTTCTCCATCTAACTACCACTGCACATTCTCCCAATGTTCATGACCATACTTCTTTAAAAGAGTGATGCATGCCAGTCTACGGACTCATTCTTTGTTCTCACTCCTCAATCCCCTGAAGCAAAGCTTCTTTCCTATGACACTTCTGTAGCTGAAGCCAACATCAATCTATATATTTTTAAATGGAATTATTTCAGAGAGAGAATGATATAATACTCAGCTGTGTCTTAGTTTAACTTTCCCCATATTTGTTCCAGAAATTTTAATAAATAAAACATTACATATAAAACTGAAACCCACTTTGTACCACCATACCCTGCTCCCATCCCTTCCTTTATTCCTCAGATCTATTATCCTAAATTTGGCATTTATTATTCCTTTGCATGTTTTTAGACTTTTACTGTATATACTTCTACCCATAAATAATATATAACACAGCTCAGAATGTTTAAAACCTTTATACATGTGGTACACTGCATGCATCATTCTGTGACTTTTTTCATTCAAAATTATATTTATCAATTTTTTTTCATATTACTATATGTAGTTCTAAGCTCATTCCATTTTCCTGCTGTATACAGTTTTATCATATGCCATGAATTACTAATTCTAATACTGTTGGCTATTAAGTTATTTTCAATTTTTCTCTATCACAAACAATGCAATGAACATCTTTTCTAAGTCTCCTCATGCCTAATCTTCTAGAATATCCTTGGAGTGAATTTCTTAAGAGTGTGTAGATCTTCAATTTTACTAAATAATGACAAACAGCTCTCCAAAGTAATTGTACACATTATATTAACATCAGCACTGCATAAGAGTTGCTGTTTTTTCACATTCTGCCAACAATGAAACTTACTGTATCCTTGTATTTTTGGTGATATGATCAATTTGAAATGGTATTTCAAATTTATATTTACATTTCCTTGATTAGCAAAGGGGAACATTTTTACTTATATTTATTAGTCAAGTGAGTTGCCAGTTTCCACCCTTTGTCCATTTTTCTATTGAGTCATTTGTCTTTTCCTTATTCATCTGTAGAGTTCTTTATGTGTTCTGTACAGTAATTCTTTGATAGCTGTTGTAAATATCTTCTTCCAGTCTGTGGCTTGTCTTTTAACAATGCTTATGGTTTAATTTGTAGCCTAAATTTTTAAATTTTAAGATAATCAAGTTTACCAATCCCAGCATCATTTGGCAGTTTGTATCTTGTATAGAAAATTCTTCTCTATCCTAAAGTAACAAAGATTTTCTCTTATGTTTCCTTCTAAAATGTTTTAAAATTTTGCTTTTTTCATTGATGAATTTATTATCTGGAATAAACTGAAGCTCTGGTGGTGTAGTGGTTGAAAACATTTGGCTGCTAACAGAAAGGTCAGTGGTTCAGGAGAAAATTAAGGCAGTCTACTTCTGCAAAGATTTCATCTTAGAAACCCTATGGGGCAGTTCTAGTCTGTCCTAAAAGGCTGCTATGAGTTGGAACCAACCTGATGGCTGTGAGTGGTATGGTGGGTGGACAGTCATTCGAGCCATAGCTATTACTAAACAGCCCATCCTCTTCCCACTGATCTGTAATGCCACTTTTGTCATATACTAGGGATCTATACTGAGCTTTCTATTTTGTTCCACTGACCTATTTGTTTATCCTTATACCATACTATCCCAACTACCATACCTTTAAAATAATGTCTTATTACCAACAGGAACAGCTCCTAATGTTGTTGTACTTTAAAATTGTATTTGCTATTCTTGACATTTTGCTCCTCATTGTAAACATGTTGTTATGATTCTGATAGAAAAAGTAGTGATAATGGGCACCTCTATCTTGTTCTTCCTTTAAAAGAAATGCTTCTAAAATTTCACTATTAAATACATTAGGTTTTCAGAAGGTTCTGTGATAGCTACCTTTTATCAGATTAAGGAAGTTCACTTTTATCTCTAGTTTCTAGGAGTTTCGTTGTCTTCCTGACAGGATTTGATGAGGTAGATGAGAAAGAGAGAAGAATGTGAGGAAGTAAGGACTTAAAGTGACCACCAGGTCTCTGGATTGGTGAGTGGGTGGACAGAGGTGCCATTCACCAAGATTTTGAATGCACCAGGAAAAAGAGATTTAGGGCAGAAGATACAGAGTTCAGTTAAATGTGAGGTACTGCTGGGATATTCAAATAAAGATATCCTATAGACCTGTGTTGTCCAATATAGTAGCCACTATTCACATGTGGCAACGGAGCCCTTGAAATGTGGCTAGTGTAAAATGAGATGTGCTGTAAGCACGTTCACTCCAGATTTCAAAGACTTATTATTTTAAAAAAAAGAAAGTAAAATATTTCATTCATATTTTCATGTTAGTTACATGATGTGATAATATTTTGACTACACTTTATTAGATAAAATATGCTAAAATTAATTTCACTTGTTTACATTTTTAATGTGGCTACCAGAAAATTTAAAATTGCCTGTATTACTCTGGTAGCATAGTGGCTAAGGCACTTGACTGCTAACCAGAAGGCTGGTGGTTCAAATCCACCAGCCACTCCTCGGAAGGAAGGTTGGGCAATCCTACTTCCGTAGTGATACTGCCTCAGAAACCCAAGGAGGGGTCGCTATGAGTCGGGGCCGACTCGACGGCATATAACAACAACAACAACATATTACTCTCATTATATTTGTATGGGGTGGTATCAGTACTGGTGGTAGGAGGGAAATCTGATATACATGAGATGTGTATTTGTGAGTCACAATCCTATAGGTGCTATTTCAGGCCCCAGGTGTAGATGAATCTGACTATGAAGTGTGTTGAGTGAGAAAGCCGCTAATGCATCTAAATACAATTTAATTTACACAACTCCATTCACCAAGAACTTCTCAGGAACATGTTAGCAAGGAGAGAGATATAAATTGTAATACAGACATTCTATGTCTAATGAAGTCAGACCACAGCTCACATAAAAAGGAAAATTACAGGAATACTGTTTTAACTGAATGCAAGCCTTTTCTTGGCTTCTGTAAAATTTGTGTATATATATATATACATATATATATATATATATATATATATTCAAAGGAGCTTGAACATAATCCGACACTGTAAACCAACCTGCTGAAAAGGATCATCTCTATATTCTTTTTTCACACAGGGATTAATCTGAGGATTTTCCACATCTGTCTCACTGGTACAAGATGAACGGCATTCTGCACAATGTAACAAATCTTCCCATAATACATCTTCTGTTTCAGATTCTGGCCTTGTACTCTCAGAATCCTGTCTGGAACTTGAACAGCGAGAGCTGCAACTAGTACCCGATTTAGGGGCATCCTGAAATTAAGATATTCTTTGACATTAATACAATTTATGTACCCTTTCCAATGCAAAGGCTTCTATCAGAACCATATATTGTTACTATTTGCTAAAACAACAAATTTACTGTTAAAGGACTGTGAAATAGATAGAAACACATTAAAAACAAAATAAAATAATAAAAAAAAAACAACCCATATTATTAGGCTTGAAGGAGTAAAAAAATGTCCTCACATCAAAACTTACTTAACATCTCAGCTGAAATGTTACTTGTTATGCAAAGGTTGTGCCTGTCAATTTTTTTTTTTTATGAATTCAGAATTCTGAGAGGCAGAGAAGAGCCTAAGTTGACATGGGCTACCCAGTGAATATTAACCAACTTTGACTGACGTATTTATTGGAGTTATTTTCTTACTCTAGTCTTTTTCAGTAGCAACTTCATCTTTCTACTCTGTTTGTTTCCAAATAGAAGTTCAATAAATTTACATAAAATGAGCATACAGTCAAAACCAGGCAGATAACTGCCATTTTATGTTTCTGAGATAATCTATGGAATCAAAGTAAAAAAAAACTAAAAGGTGTAAGTTAAATAATTTATAATTAATTGATTTTTCCTAGGGATGTTTAATGTATAAACTAGAGACTTTACAGCTAACTTTTTTTTTTTTTAATTTGATTGGATAAATTAACTCCAAAGAACTTACACTAAGTGAAAATGGTAACAGCCATACTCACAGTCAAGCATGCTCGATTTTTTGGAGTTTTAGCGGTCCTCTTGTCAGGAAAATCTGTGATTTCTACCTTTGAAATGTTTTGTGTTTATCCCTTTCTTTTTCCCATACTATCAGAGTTCAGACTTTATCAACCATACCTTGATTGCTCTAAGAGCCTTCTAATTGGCACCTACTTGAAAGGCCTTACCCCTCTTTCCAGATTAACCTACTTAAAGTGCACTTGTTTTCTCATTCTTCTAACCACAATCTGTGGCTTCCCACTGCTCCTGGATAAAGTTTGAAATTCTTCACCCAGCATGCTCATCTTCCCACAAGTGTTACTTTTTGACCTTGTCTTCCATTTGTCCACACTTCCTTCTCTTCCAGTGATACCAGGTTACTCCTCAGTCCTTAAACACAGCTTGGTCTTTTCCACTTTAGCCTTTGATTACATTCCAATTTCTTATTATTAACCTGTTCTTCATTAAAGCCTACTCAATAAAGTGTCAGGAAAATACCATCCCCACCCATTACTAGCTGGATACCTTGTTTCTGAGCTTCAATTTCTTCATTTACCAGTAGAGAATAAAACTGCCCACCTTAAAGAGGCGCTGAAAATGCGCTACTTGCAGCTTTAATAATATCTGACTCAAAGTAGAGGTTCAAGAAATACAGTGCTTTTTATGATTACTTTGTGATTACTTTGTCCCTGAACTAAGTTATTATTATGTATATTCACTTGATAATATATTAAGGTGCTCTGGTGGCATTGTGCCTAAGGCATTTGACACTAACCAGAAGGCTGGCAGTTCAAATCCACCAGCCGCTCCGCAGAAGGAAGACTGGACAATCTACTTCCGTAAAGATTTACTGCCTCAGAAACCCAAAGGGGGTTACTATAAGTCAGAATCGACTCATTGGCAGTGAGTTTGGGTGTTTTTGCTTTTGTTTTTTGGCGGAGTAGTGGGTAAGACATTTGGCTGATCACCAGAAGGTCAGTGGTTCAAACCTAATGGTGCCCCACAGAAGAAAATGAGGAAATCTACTTCTGTAAAGATATGCAGCCTTGGAAACCCAATAGGGGTCGCTATAAGTTGAAATCAACTCAATGGCAGTGGGTTTGACATTATGCATTGTTTCCAGCATGTATGTTAGACGTCTATGTTATTTAATTGTTCATGTATTTCATATTGTCAAACAGATCCTAAGCCTTAAACATACTAACTAAACACTAAGTCTACAAAGGACGGAAACCAAACACTTACTTTTTTGCCATCTTCACCAAAGGTAACGAAATATTCTGAATGAATGAGGTACATTATTGATGACTATTTTGTTGGTGTTAGAATGGGTACCATGAATATTTATTTAGTTTGTTGACAGAGTGTTTTGTTGTTGTTATATGCTATCAAGTCATCTCCAACTCATAGTGACCCCTCCTTGGGTTTCTGAGGCAGTATTACTACGGAAGTAGATTGCCCAGTCTTCCTTCTGAGGAGTGGCTGGTGGGTTTGAACCTCCAGCCTTCTAGGTAGCAGTCAAGTGCCTTAGGCACTACGCCACCAAGCTAGGAGAATTGTTCACTTAGGGGTAAAAGATAATTAAAAAAAAAATTTATAAGTGCTGAAATGAAAAATTACTAAGACACAAAAAGAGAAAAAAATAAATACAGAAAGGAAAAAAGGGCAAAAGAGTCTGCTTTGCTTTATAAAAAAGCACTCCAAAAATATTTCACACTCACTAAGTCTCAGAATACTTGAAGCATAAGCAATTTTCATTATATAGCAAGACACAGAAGTTGTTAAATATTCAGTAACTGCTAATTTAAAAATCTTGAAAGCTAACTTAGCTATCACTAATTTCTGATGCAGATTTAATAATCAAGAATAAGTAACATGATTAAAAGCCTGATGACTATTTAGCTGAAATGAATGAGTGATTTCAGGGCTAAGAAATATTTTTGTTAAGTGTATTTTTGTCAAATGCTGATTATTAAGGGGGTTCTTTTACAAATGTGAAATACAAAGATTTTTGCCTATAATTCAAATAGAATTTTACCTGCAATATTCAGATGATTAATGGCCACTTTGAATTTTACCACAAATTGCTGAATGAAATTTAAAAACATGAAATTTTAGAATTAATGATGAGTTCTAGTTAACCACATTTAACTCAGTTTGCTCTGCCCATTTTAAATCTTTAGGCTGAAAGCTAAAACCAAACACATAACCAAATTAAGAGGAGACAGATTCTTCATTTGAAGGGAATAAGCATCATAAGGGAGCTCTGGTAGCTTAGTGCCTAAGGCACTTGACTGCTAACCAGAGGGCTGGAGGTTCAAACCCACCAGCCACTCCTTGGAAGGAATATGGGGCAATCTACTTCTGTAGTGATACTGCCTCGGAAACCCAAGGAGGGGTCGCTATGAGTAGCGTCTGATTCGACGGTACATAACAACAACAACAAGCATTATAAATGCTTTGTGCTAGGCAATGTGCACATAATTTTATTTAATCCTTATAATCAGATGAGGCTGGTCTTAACGTTTACAGATACAGAGACTGAAACTCAGATCAGTTAAATAATTTTTCTAAATCCACTTAGGAGCTCTGGTGGCATAGTGCCTAGGGCATTTGCCTGCTAACCAGAAGGCTGGCGGTTCAAACCTACCAGCCACTTCTCAAAGGAAGGCAATCTACTTCTACAGAGATACTGCCTTGTAAACCCAAGGAGGGGTCGCTATGAGTCAGATGTGACTCAATGGCAGTGCATTTAAATTCACTTAAACAGTGCAACTTTAAACTCAGGGTTTTATCATGCCTCCCATTAAATGCCACCTTCAGCAGATTAAAATGCTGGTTCACAGTAGAGAACAAAAACTGAAAAATGTCTGGGGAGTTAAACAAGGATAGAACAGGAAACAGGACAAATGCTTAAAAGAGCTGTCAGATCTTCAGGACATTTCCCCTCCATCTTCAGATAATCAAGTAACTCCCTCCCCATTTTCCCAACAGGGCACAGGAAGAAGAGAACCAGATACAGGCAGTCCTCAGGTTACGAAAGATATCTGTTCCTAACTGTGTCTTGAAGAATCTGTAGGTGAGTCAGACCAGGTGCATATGGTTCTTATTTAGCCTTGAATAATAATAATAAAATCAAACAAAAGGCTAGAAATCTTTTCAAGGATTTAAAAGCTACAAGTGCAGCAAGTAAGATGACTGTGATGATGAATTTGTTGCCAGTAGGAGTATGTTCAAGCATTTCAAAGTGACAGCAAATTTAGATAAGGGCAAATACGAGTTATCTGTATAAGTAGGACATTCGTAACCCAGGGGCTGATAGTAGAAGGGAAAAATGGGGATTAAATAAGTCTATATATTGAATGGCAAGACCACCATCTCAGATCCCTTGGTCCCAAAAGCTATGGCAGCTTGGTATAATATCTACCGTTTTCATCCTACCAGAAGACTGGAAGATTCTTACTGAAAACGTGAAATGGGAAGTTTACAACAAACAGCTGTTTGCTGCCTGGTCATCCTACAATGAAGCCCAGCAGTCCCACCGAGGCACAGTTTTCTACTGCTTCACTCCTAAGATGAAGTATCACCTGTCATCTGAAGAGCACAGCAGTTCACACTGTAAAGATGCAAAAGAGCACTACCCATCTTTTGTATTAATTTTATTTATTCAAAGGAGGGTTTTGTTTTTGTTTTTGCTTTTCTTTTAAATGCTATCTGAAGCTGACTTAAGAGGGTCAAATATTTTTAGAACTGAATGCAGCTTTTAAACATCTTCTAGTTACAGATGAAGAATTCAAAGACCAGATTTTATTTTTATGTAATCTTTTAAATTACTGAAAGGATTTAAAACAACCAAGGCCTGTTACCTAATTATCAGCCTTTTGTAGTTTGAAAACTGGAAGAATTTAAGCAATATATTTACTTAAATGTTAAGATAGTATTCTGCCCTTCAAGAATCTCAATAGTTCAAATTATAGCTGTAAATCAAGAAGAGCAAAGATCATAGAGTGAAAAAACTAGCTCTGAAGACAATTTATCTATAGGACAGTAGTAAAACAGTCCTCTCGCTCCTTTCTAGCACCAACTAACTTCTAACTGTACAGAGAGTAGGACTGTGAATTTCATAGTCTTAGCCTGGGAGCTCTGGTAGCATAGTGGCTAAGGCACTTGACTGCTAACCAGAAGGCTGGCGGTTCAAACCCACCAGCCACTCCTCGGAAGGAAGATGGGGCAATCTACTTCCGTAGTGATACTGCCTCGGAAACCCAAGGAGGGGTCGCTATGAGTCTCATCTGACTCGATGGCACATAACAACAACAACAAGAAGCCATCTGACTTAAGAACAGGGAACAGGTTATCAGATGATTTGGGTGAAGAAGCAACGTGAAGACAGGTTGGTATTTGTGTCTAATGGCAGTCACTGAGAGGAGAAACACAACCACAGTCACCAGAAAGATTAACCAGAGATACTATCAGAGAAGAGTGCATTTAAAGAACAACTCTTTGACTCTTAACAGCCTGAAGTCACAGTCACACTCTAGCACAACAGAAGAGGTGATTTTTCACAAGAATACCTCTAAATCATCAAGGAAAAAAATAATCATGTTGTTCAAAAAGAATGGAAAGTAATGCCTATCAAAAAGTTACAAAAGAATAATTTGCCTTGAAGCCAGGCAATGAAAAGTTCTGTCCTTAGAATAAAGAGTGAAAGTATTTTTCTATTTTAATAGTTTTAAGATATGTGATAGAGTTGGAAACGAGTTTAGGGAAGAATAAAAATCAAGACAGAAAAATAGAAGCAAAAAAGGAAACAAAATTCAACTTAACTAGTGACAGGAGTATAAAGGAAGTCACTTAGAATAACGAGTTTGCTCTACTCAAGAAGTTATAAATTTTCAAATTGTGGAATAAACTAACAAGAGTTCAACACATTGTCTCTCCAGGATGGTTGTCTTTAAAAGTAAACAGCAAACTTAATGTATGAGTTTTCAGAGTTACGTACAAAATTGAGTGCAAATGTGTAACTATTTGTCAATGTGTGCAGTGCATGAACCTGAAGCTGCTACTCTATAAACCAGATCATATCACAATAAGAAATACTGATAATGATGGGAAATATTTGATATTTCAACAATATTTAATTGTTGAAAGAAGTTGCAAATTAGTAACATGAGATATATATGCATGTGTATCTGTAAGGCCAAACTGTATACCTCATTAAGATAATGTTTCTTATAATGGTGCGACTTTCTATTCCGAAGAATGCTTTCAGAAGGCCTGTCCACACGACGGCGTAATGGGTATCCTGTTTCAGGACCTTCTTCGCTGGAGACTTCATCAGAGACATTTGTTATTGTCCTTTGGGTATCCTAAATTGGGAATACAGGAAAAGAAGCATATGTAATTTCTGACAGAACTTGTAGCTTTAAAACTGTAAAATCTAAAATCTTATGTATATGTGTATATATGTATATATATATATATATATATACATATATATCATACAAGCCTTACTTCAAAATACTTTCAAATGCCTCAAAGTAACTTATTTAGTACTATCTGATTTTCTGAAAAAAAGTCACTGATTATACTGTTACTTTTGTTTTAAATAGGATAAAGCTATTCAACTACCTTTTGTCAAAAATTTTTCTATAACATTTTGTTTCATAAAAGGGGTTTAAACAGCCTACAAAATTAAGAAATGTAAAATAGAATAACAGAAGAACAGAGGCCATTTCAAAAAAGCTGAGATAATAGAAGTTGACAGAGCATTGTGATAAACTAACTATAATGTTTTCTCAATTAGAAGATGCCATCAATTATAATATCCACCACTGATTTAATAATGACTTAAGGGGCAGGGCGAAGTAAATGACAGGACTATGTATGTGCGCATATCTGATAGACATTTTGTACATATCTCTCTGTAAGGGACATCCAGATTTCAGAAATTCTAAATTGAGAGACTCCAGAATGTAAGTTTTATTGGTATCTTCACGTTTCCCTCATATATCACTTAGTAAGTGATACATACCTTATGTGTTTGAAACATGTTTGAAAACTCAGTTTACAAGCTTAACAAAAGACATATTAAGTGGTGACAGTGATGTGAAGCTCACATTATCAGAGAGGTAAATGCTTGAAACACCTAAAATCAGAGTATGGGACTAGATAGATAGATGGCAGTTAAGGCTGTGTGCCAACCTGACTGGGCTGTGGGTTTGAGTGGCTGGGCAGCTGGATGCAGTTATTCCCCATAATGAGACTGGAAGTAGTGGAATCAACTCCACGGTGGAATCTGCTGTGAACAGCTAAATAGATGCCTTCAGAGTGTGGCCTGCTTCCAGTATATATTGGGAAGCTTTGAGGAAGGTCTCTAGCTTTTTGGCACATTTGGACTTTGAATTTGGCTGAGTCTTGATCTGTATTTCCTGGACCTGGACTAGTGCCCTGCCGTGCTGCCTACTGATCTTGCTATTGTGCCATTTTACCTGCTGACCTTGGGTTCGTCAGCCTCAGCAGCCAGCAGCTTTCTGAGCGAGGAGACACATCTAGTTCCAGTGAACCTGGAGTAAGAGGCAGAGCTAAAGCCCAAGGTCGAGGGCCTTTCACCCAGCCCCTATAGCCAGCTCTCTGAATTTGGACCTCTGCTTTCCTAAACTGTAAGAGGATAAATTCCTGTTTGTTAAGCCATCCACTTGTGGTCTATCTGTTACAGCAGCACTAGAGAACCAAGACCGTCTATGTCTCATGGCGGCCCCCACTGATCTACAGCGAGCAGCACTGAAAACGTACGTATCGTCCTGTCATCACACATACTTAAGTTCAGAAAATGAGACCACCTTCTCTTTACTGATTTTCCTCAACACAAACGTTTATTCTCACATTCCCAAATGTAAAAAAGGCAACATTTTTTAATTTGACCATATTTTTCGGTTTTAACTGTTTCTTAAATAAATTGTTTAATCAGAAAAATTCAGCAAAAGAAAACAAATTACTATATCCTTAACAAATGTCTTTAAGAAGAATTGTCTTCAGATTAAAAAACGAAGCAAAATAGATGTGCTGATATCAAAGATGTAAGAAAAACAAGATAATATTTCCTAATAGAGTATATGAATGAAAAACCAGGTTCCTAGTGTAGCTTCTCAAGTATTTTTGATGGTCCACTTAATGCAAATTCTTACATTATGTGTGGAAATGGGGAAAGAAAAGGTAAGGTTTTACAAATACCACCTACAAATTATAAAGTACTTTAACATTTTGAAAAACTGAATGATGAAGTAATTCAGAAGGAGCCAGGTTACACTGGCAATCAAGTTTAATCACAATATTTTCTGCTTCCTCGGTATGATTTATAAAGAATAAATAAATAAACTTTATAAAGTTTTTTTCTGGGGAAAAAAACACAATTGAAGGGCAGCTACTTTATGTAAATCATGTCACATTAGCTCATGCAAACTCACACAGTTTTTAAAAAGCACTTACTTTGCTGGGAATGTTCCTAGGTGTTCCTGTGTTCCAGGTTGTCTCTTCTGATTGAATGACCTCACACTGAGGTTCATGGCTCTGTACTCCATCTTCACTGCTTTTAACAGTCTTTTTCCCATCAAGGGATACATAGCCATTGTCAGTCTCAGTTGATTTATCAATTGAATTTTTCACTTTCTTTGATCTAAAAATGAAAACACGCAAAAACAAGTCATAGGCACTCAGCTTACCTTGCATGGGTTACCAACAGGAATAATGATCCATCACTAATTCAATTAGGTAGTTATTTCTCAGAATTTCAATGGCTACCTGTTTTTACAAAAAAGTATTTAGAAATAAAATATCTATCAGATAAAATAAACATATATTAATGTTCTTATTTCATAGGTTTTTAAGTCTTACAAGTAGCAATTCTAAGAGACATGCCCTAACGTACTGAAAGAACCTGGTCTTTGAGCAAATTCTAGGATTAAAATTTTGTTCATCTTATTATTTGTTAATAATATATTTTGAAGTGGTATTTTAGAAAACTGTCTTAGTAATTATTAGGTTAAGTAGCAATTAGTGGTTTGGGCTAGTTTCAATGCTCTAGCTTGCCCAGATAGTTTACCATTAGTATCTATGAACATGTATCTGACAAATTCATTTTAATATACAGTGGAGACACAGGATCTTTTGTTATATAAAAATACATGAAAAAAAGAAAAAGCTGACATAGGATTCTAAAGAACGGAAGAAGTTAAAATGAAGGACACAAAGAAGTAACCTATTCCACCCACTGAAATGCTATCTGAAATACTACCTGGAAAAAAACATTAGTAATCATGTAGCTATAAATACCTAAAAGTCTAGAGTTGAGGATATTCATTTATAAAAATCAGATTTTTCTCACTTTACAAAATCTAACATGAGAAATGATAAATAAGACATGTCTTGATTAATAGGCAAATATCTGAGTACTCCTCTTCAGAGACTACGGTGGGTGAAAGAATAGCTACCTAAAGAAATGGTTAGTAGAAATACAATGTAAATATAACAAAATTAAAATGTGCTCAATGCAGATAAAGTCTATCATAAAACATTATTAAAAAGCAACTTATTTAAGTATATTTAAATAATTCCCTTTGAACTCTCCTCAGAGCATTAATTTTACAAGAAAGTACAAATAAAACTAGTATACCCACTCCTCACTTATCACCTATTTCATTACCCGACATTTCACATTTACAACCATAGTAAAAAAAAAAAATCTACTACCTAGCTATTTTATGCATTAACAACATACGTCTGGCAACAAACACTGAGGTAAAAGTAACGCTAGCTGCGATGGTTAAAGTTGTGTATCAACTTGACTGGGCCATGATTCTCAGTAGTTTCGCAGTTATGCAATGCAATTTGGCAAGTTAAGTAATGATGACATTGGCAGCTATGTAATGATGTAGTTAGCCATCCTTCATTTTCTAATCTGATGTGGTCATCCTCCATTTTCACATAAACCAATTTTCTCGTAATAACCTGGTCTATGGCACTTAACAATGTCAGTAAATGAGGAGTGATATATACTGCTTTCATGTAGTATATGTAAAAGTAAACCTTACTCAACATCTATGCTAGATATGGAGTATTTTTAATGCATAGGAAAACATTATCTTTAAGACTACAGTTAAATCTGTCTTTTAGAAATGGACAACACGTTGGAACACACCTATTTTTCTAAATGCTCTTTTTGGAAACAGGAATTTGAAGCACAAAGAGGTCTAAGAAACTTTTTTAAGGTGACACAGAGGCACAGAACTAACTATGAAATTATATGCTCACACTACCTCCAAATCCCCACTCTGGGAAATTTCCTGTTAGGATTTCTTTGTAACACACTCATCAGAGCCTAGAAAGTTTCCATCTTGTGCCAAGAGGCTTTTCTCCTTCCTGACCTCATCCTGCAAAGTTTCTAAGTGGAACAAACCAACCATCCTTCCCACATGTGCTATAGGGCTCTGAAGTTTTATTATTATTATTCACTCAGAACACATCTCCACGGACTTCCAAGACTCAGGATGCCAGTCTTATGATCTGGTTCTTTCTATATAATACTCAGAGCAGTGGAAGACCAAGAGAGCAAGGAGCTGTAGAACAGAGATCACTTACACCAGAGGAAAAAAAAGAGGAAAGTAGATTCTAGTAGAGAGAAAGGGCAAAAATAAAAACTAAAAAGTCCAGAGGATACTTGTGATCATCTCTGCCTGAGAAAGAAAGTGACAGAAGCATTAGTTATTAATTGTTCCCTATTCTTTTAACATTGTATGACATGTAGGTATGGAAAAAGACCAAGGGAAGTTAATATACTTGATATACTGAAAATGTCAGAAACTCAAAGACAGAGAAGAGGGAGTGGGCTGGAGAGGTATTTAGGAAAGCACAGGGAAGGGATATGAGAATAAATTAGGCTTCACTGGGAAGAGAAGGTACAAAAGGGATGAATGAGGTGAATGAAGAAGTGGTAGAATCATTTATCTGACAGATAATGCAAGAACCAAACAAAAGCAAACTCACTGTCATCAAATCAGTTCCAACTCATGGTAACCCCCACTGGTGCACTAAGGCAGTAACTCTTTATAGAAGTCGACTGCCCTGTCTCTATTCCACAGTGCCTGGTGGACTTGAACTGCCAACCCTCATGGTTAGCAGTCAGACGTCTTAGGCACTGTACCATCAGAGCTTCCGATAACGCAAGAAGAGGAATTAATTTGGGAAGAAAGATGGAGCTGTTGGACCTGAAGTGCCCAGGGAGCATCCTGAGAAAGATCAGTGTTGTTGTTGTTGTTAAGTGCCGTCGAGTTGTTTCCAACTCATAGCGACCCCATGCACAGCAGAACGAAACACTGCCCGATCCTGCGCCAGCCCCACAATCCCTGATATACTTGAGCCCATCATCGCAGCCACCGTATCAATCCATCTCGTTGAAGGCCTCCCCCTCTTTCGTCAACCCTCCACC